TGGGACTACAGGCGTGTGCCACCACGCCCAGCTAATTTTTGTGTTTTCAGTGAAGACAGGATTTCATCGTGTTAGCCAGGATGGTCTCAATCTCCTGACTTTGTGATCCACCTGCCTCAGCTTCCCAAAGTGTTGAGATTACAATTGTAAGCCACCACGCCCAGGCCTGTCAGGTAATTTCTTATGGCCAGTTTTTACATAGAGTAATTTTAGGTTTTATGGCTGGCTTTGGGGAAACGGGGTTCTGGTTTTTATAGCTGGCCTTTGGGGAGAATGGAACTGAGTGACAAGAGGACAGGAGACGGTCAGAGAAACATTGCTTCTGAGGCTGCTGTTGAGGGCTTCATTTTGGGGTATTGTCCTCTAAGCCCCAACAGTGTCAAAGTGGACACAAACCATTCACAGCACTGTTAGGAAATGGGCTCCTGGCTGGGTCTGTGGGGTATGTGTGTGTCTGGGTGTGTGGCTGCTGTCTGCATCCTTCTCCCCCTACTGCCTCCCCGCCTCCTCTCCAGCCACCCTGGGATTGGTGACTCTCAGCCCCTCCCCTCGGCTCCCCTAGACCCTCCCAGAGCGTTTATCAGGGAGCTGGGACGGAGTGACTGGCACCTTCCCAGATCCCCGCCACTCGGTTTGTCTCTTTGCAGCAGCACAGGCAGCACCAGTGTGTGAGGGGAGCAGGCAGAGCTCCCAGCCATCTCCCTGATCCTGCTAGAACACCTAGCCCCAGGCACAGAGCTGCTCCACAGGTAGGTGAGCGGGAGAATGCTGGATGGACTGGAGTTGGCATCAGGGGACAGGAGCCAGCGTCAGGAGGGAATAAAGGAAATGGCAGCCTTTGACAGGGGAGCAGGGGACTGGGAAGGTGAGCAGAAAGCACCTGTAGGGCCGAGAGCTGGTTAGTGTTTGGAGCCTGTGGCTACAGACTAACTCTTTCAGACCAGAAAGTTTTTGCCTAAGTCTTGGGGTTATCTAGTACTGGAGAACAGCATCTAGGATTCCTCCTCCAGCTGACTAGGGAAACAGACCACCAGCCCATGTCCTATAAATCTATCATCTTCCTTGGGAGTTAGAGTCCCCCTGGCATCACTATACCATTGCTCATCTCCTGCAGAGATGTCTGATGGGGGAGGAGGGAAACTAAGCCCAAGGGCTGTACCCCCTTCTCAGAGATACTTTCCATCCTTGTTCCAGACCGGGGCTTGGACAACGGAGTTGGGGGCTGGGGAAGCAGGGCCAAACCAAGCTGCTGGTAATGAATGTCTCTTTTGTCTTCACCCGTGCTATATCCTCCTCTTCTCCCCCTTACCTGAGTCCTGCCCTTTGCTCTCCCAGGCACCATGAGGATCACGCTGCTATTCACAGCCATCCTGGCCTTCAGCCTAGCTCAGAGCTTTGGGGCAATCTGTAGTGAGTCACAGAAGGAGGTGGCTTCTCGCGGGGGCCACAACAAGGTAAGTGCCCCCCGGCAGAGTACTGGGGACATCACGGGAACCTGGGACTCTGGCTGTCTGGACAGCTGTAGTGAGGAAGCTGGGGTGGGTGGGTTATCCATCAGAGGGCATTTTGCCTCCCTTTGGATTCCTTTGCTTTTCTGGTCCTCTCATGTTCCCACTATTTCCAGGTGTGTTGTTTGTGTCTCCATATCTCTTCATGTCTTTGACACCTTGTACATAAAAGGTGCCCTACAAATATGTTGTTTGGTGGGTTGATTGATGGGAGACTTGGTGATTGGCTGGGACTATGAGGGGTGAGCTAGGGTGGTCTAAGGCTCTCTGTGGTCTACCTCAGTTCCCTTTGCAGGGAACAGATCACTTTTATTTTCTGGTTGGTATGAAACAGTCAGAATTTCTTTCCCAAATGGTCATTTGTGTGCTATTTTACCTATCAGTTATGTCTATTGTTTTATTTTCAAAATGCAAATAAATCCCCTTATCTTTGGCTCATCTACCCCCAGTAACCTCAGGTGCTTCTAAGGTCCCAACTCCTTCCTTCTCCTCTCCTCTCCCTTGCCCACCTCTATCCTCTGCTTAGTCAGGATAGGAAAACAACAACAGCAAAAAAACCAGGTTGAGCCTCGATGTCCACAGTTCTTCTATGAAAAAGAATAGGAATTGTCAGGGCAGGGTGTACGGGGGAGGATAGGGAGGAAGCCTTTTCGAGGTTTTGCAATGACAGCACTTACACCAGTACAAATGCTTTTAAGATGATCACAGGTGGGACTTATTACAAATTCAATGTGTGAAGTTTAACTGCCTCCTCTTCAGCTCAAATCTGTTTAGCATCTCATTACAGGAGGTGGGCAGAGTATTCAACAATTTGGGAAAAGTGGCTGCCTGATAGCCACATGCTGGGCCAAGGGAGGTATTGCCAGGGCAGCCTTGCAGGTGGCAGCAGTTGTGCTGTAACCAAAAGACTAGAACCATTCAGAAAATACCCAGGGAGTACCAAGTATGGGCTGGACACCATTTGGAGCCACAAAATTCCAGCCCAGGATAGAGTATCTGGGTTCTTCTGAGACAAACTTGCTGTAGGACCTTAGCCAATGAGATGTCCCCTCTGCTGCTCTTGGTCAATGAAAGAGAAGGATTTCCATCCTACCCCTTCTCCCTGAGAGTCTATGAGAATGAGGGAAATTGGGGCAGGATGAGGGTAGTATGTATGTGTGCCTAGGCAACTGGGTTGGTATGTGTGTGGTGTGTGTTCTGTGTAAATGCACTTCTGTGTGTGCACAACAGCCCAAGGATGCCTGGGTTCTGGAAAGAGAGGCACTGCCAACACTTGAGATTTGAGGTGAGGCTCTCTAACCATGATCATTATTATTGTCTCTCTGTAGCTGCAATTAACTGGCTGTGAGTGCGTGCCCACCATCTTGCTGTGCCCAAGTTGCTAACAAAAAATCACAGGGACAATCAAGAGCCCCTGCTGGGCAACAGCTCTAGAATTTGGGGTTCAGTTGTGGGGAGAAGAAGGGGTGCCTTCTGAGCATGTTGCCTTCCTGGAATTCTAGACCCAGGGCTGAAAAAGGAGAGGGAAGAAAACTAGAGGCAGAAAGCCATGAAGAATAAAGAGGCAGTGGAAAACAGGGAGAGAAACATCCGTGGACATTGCGCAGCATGGGGGAATCACAGGTGCAAATGTGCGCCTCAAACCTCACCATGCATGTGAATCACCTGGGGGGCTGCTTAAAATGCAGATTCTGTCTCAGGAAGTCTGGGGTAGGACCAAGAGTCTGCATTTCTAACAGGCTCCATGCAGGGCTGGTGTTGCTGTTGGTCCACAGGTCACTCCTGGAGCGCCTACTTCTCGTCCAGTGTGAACCAGAGGAAATTCTGAAAGAAATAGGGTCTCGGATTCTGGGTGGGTTCAGGAAGAGGCAGTTTCTTGTGGGAAAAGGATGAGTGAATCCAGGTGGAAGCTTCCTGCCTTAGCCCTCTTTGTTTTTTCTGTAGAAGGACATGAATCTCCACCAGCTGGTCCAGAGACTCTACAAAATCCACTCCTTTTCTCTGGAGGAACTGCTCATAGCCCTGAGCCAGGCTATCTTGGGTAGGAGGCCGCCTTAGGGAGAGAGGGGAGTGAGGGGCAGGATTCTGAAGTTGAAAGGCCTGGTAGACCCTTTCGGCTGGGAGGGAGATGGGGGATAGTCTAGTGAATTGGTGACGGTGTGATCTGAACCCCCCTCTCCTCACTTTCCAACTTCACTCCCCATTTAGACACTTGTTCTTCGTTTCACAGATTCTAGGGGATCAGAAACACCACTTCCCCGGAAACGTGAGTAGCCTCTTCTCCCTCCCTATCTTTGATGACCACTTGCCCAGAGCTCCTTGGGGCATTGGGCCAAGGGGCCATTTTGTCCAGCTCCTTCTCACCTGGTACAAACAACATGCCAGCTGCCACTGCTCAGCCAACCTTTCCTGAAAGGGAGAGGCTATCAGGAACTAGGAGGAAGCCAGTGTGAGGGACATGGTGGACTCTCCCTCTGCTGGCTGGTCATTGGGAAACAAGAGGATCTCTTGGTGGCCCTGAAGATTCCAAGCCAAGCACCTGCTAGAGCAGAAAATTCTTGAAATGTGGAGGAGGGAAAGGTGGGCAGAGAGAGTGGTTAGGGGAGGCACTTGCTAATGTGAGGAGTCATGCTTTAACAAGAAAAAGGAACAGAGACCAGAAATCTGGAAGTGCTGACCCATGTCTGGGGAAATGCATCACTTTCTCATCATCACTGCTGACAATGTTGGCCCTTTTCTACAGGTAACATGCAGGACTTATTTGTGGGACTTATGGGCAAGAGGAACGTCCAGCCAGGTAGGAGTGTGTGGGGGTACATTGGAAGGGTTTAGGGTATGGGCAGAGTGTATGATAGAAGTCACATGCCTCATATTTTTCACCAGAGGGAAAGACAGGACCTTTCTTAGCTTCAATGAGGGTTCCTCAGCCCCTTCATCCCAATCAGCTTGGATTCACAGGCAAGCCTTCCCTGGGAGAAGAGGAGGGGGTACCTTTATAAGGTAGTCTTGCTGCAGCTGGGAGGAAGGACAGGGAGACTCTGCTTCCTCCCCAGTCTTCCAACTCTGTCTTTGAACGCTGCCCTTCATAGCCAGCCCTTTGCTGTTGGGTTAGGCTGGCTATGAGAAAGATGCCTCTTACTTACACTGTTCACTTTACTCTAGACTCTCCTACTGATGGGAATCAAGAGAATGTCCCTAGCTTCAGCGCCCTCAAGTATCCCCCCAGTGTGAAATGAGGTAAGGATTGTGTTAGAGAGGGGAGAGGGGATTGGGGAGGGAGCTGTGAGGGTTGCCAGCTGCGTATTTCCTCCCCTGCTACAGGCATTAAAGCTCATAGATTTGCCCTGAAATACACTGCCAGTGCCCAGCACACTATCGGCCAAACACAGACACTTGGAGGCACATGTGTGTGCATGCACATCCCCCCCGTCTTTCCTCTCTTTTGCCCTGGATCATGGACTTCAGCTTTGAGCAGGAGTGAGGGTTGGGAGATGAGGAGAGAGGAGCTTCCTAGATGGCAACTTCTGTTGTTTGGACTTCATTCTTTTGTGATCTGTGCAAAAAGATGGAGAGATTATTATCTGATAATTACAAACACCACAACCAATTCACAAGCAAGCATTGCTTCCCAGACAGGCTGAGCCTTTTAGATCACTCAGAATCCCGGGTTACCGGGTCCAGAGGGTAGTGATACTCAAGGATGACTCAGGAAGAAATTCAAGGAACTCTGAAATCTAATGGGGAGTAGCTGGAAACCATATCTTAATCTCACTCTTTTTTAGCACAATGAATAAGAACATGGCCTGCATGTGAATCCTGGACCTGCCACTCTCTATCTGTTTCCCTGTGGCCAAGTTACATAACCCTTCTGTGCCTCAGTTTTCTCATCTGAAAAATGAAAGTGATAGTAGTTTCTCGCAAGGTTGTGGTTTTAAGGATGGAGTATAGGTAAAGTGTTCAGAACAGTGCGTGGTGCACAGTGCTGTGTGCCAATTTTCTGATGATTGTCCCAGTTTGGGCGGTGTGGGGATGTCCTAATGTTTCCCCTGACTGGCTCTGTCTGGACCCCAGGCCTGAGTGGGCTGACAGATTCCTCACTTGGTATGCAAGCGTGAGAGTCCCCCGGGGAAGTGTCTAGTCAAAACATGAACCTTCTGCCTTGACACCGTCTTCCCACACACAGCAATAGCAGCTCCGCCAATGGCTTTCTTTTCACTAGCTTCTCAAGAAGTGGGGCAGGGGAAGCGAAAGGAAGAGGGAGAGGGATTGGGAAGCCTCATAATCATGGAGAGCCTCCTGCCTTTCTCCCTGTGTCCCTGTTACCCATACTCATTGGTCTCAAGGTAGCACGCCTGAGACCCAAGGAGCTGGCACTTGATGATGCTGCCTATGCATGACTTCCTGGGACCAGAGACTGGGTCTGGCCCCCCATTTAGTGTTGGGTGAGAGGGCACAAACAGCTATAATAACTGTAACTCGCTGATTACATGGTGCTTACTGTATCATTTTGCTCTCATTAGATGGTTATTTCAGTCCTACCCACGGCCAGATAATTACACAAGCAGCTATATCTGGATGACATACTCTCCTCCAGCGTTATGCACTGGCCATAAAGATAATTACAGTGCAATTTTGCCATAGTATTTTATATAAATGGCAAAAACAGATGCATTGTGGAAATCTACTTTCAATGCTTGCTTGTGAATCCAGGCTCTTTCAGAGGGACCCATAATTGCAGCCTTCATAATCTTACCACTGAGGAAGCATTCTCAACCTGTTAGGTGGCACGGAGAATAGGACATAAGGTTTCCGGGAGCTGGCATTTAACGATGGGATGAGATGGATCAACACAGATCATTGTGTCATCTGATTTCATTCATGTGACACTGTTGAAAAAGGAAGTTTTCCTGGGCCTGTCCTTCCTCTAGGAGGTTTCTAGGAAGAGGAGGGGAGCATTCACAGTAGGGTACCTTGGACGGGGCTGTGTGTCTGTTTGGCTCATGGGGGTGCTAGGATGGCATGAACTTGGTTCTACATTTTTGGTTCACATGGGCCCCACTGGCCATGCACACAGGTGTGTATAGTAACGTAAATATGGCGGCTGGGAAGGTGCAAGCACCTGCTGCTAGGAGAGTTCCAACCTCAGGCCCAAAGGCGGGAGGGGAGGCTGAGGGTCAAGACTCTTGTTCTTTTTTCTCTCCCAGGTGGCCCTTCCCTTCTCTCGTGCTGCCCTAGCAGGTGTTCAGTGGAAGTTTTTTACAGGATGTAAGAGATGATTTCGGTGTTGTTGTTTTTTTGGTCCTCAGCACTCTACTTTTGGACCCTTGGACTACGTCAGGAAGACCTGTCTCCCTGCCCCAATCCCCAGGTGCACATGCTCCCATTGCCCTTTTTCTTCCCCATTCTTGTAACATTCTTGTGATTCGACTCCTTCCCTATCTTTTCCACCTGACCCTGGCATGAAAACTGCATAGTGAATATCCCCAATCCCAATGGGCATTGACTATAGAGTCCCCTAGAGTTCCTGAAGTGTCCTACATTAAAAATATAATGTCTCTCTACTCCTCAACAATAAAGGATTTTTGCATATGAATGATGCGATATGTGTGTTTACTTGTTTGGTTAGTGGGTTTTCTGTTCCTTGACTCTTCCAGCTACATGGTAAATACACACATATGTATGATACACACGTTCATATTTAAATGTAAATATCTTCACATATCTTTCTGTATATATCTATTTCCTGAACAGTGCCTTACACAGTGCTTTGCATGATGACTATCAGATTTATTTAGTGATTAAAATAATAAATATGTAAATTCGGAAGATGGGTTTTTTTCTTTTTTTTTTCCAAGACGGAGTTTCACCATATTGGCCAGGATGGTCTCGATCTCCTGACCTCGTGATCCGCCCGCCTCGGCCTCCCAAAGTGCTGGGATTACAGGCATGAGCCACCATGCCTGGCTCGGAAGATGGTTTCTAACACAAAGATATTCACAGACCAGTTTTAGATAAAGAAAAAAACATTCAGAATGACTTGTATTACTAGGATGGGCCTGGGAGACATGCATTCCTGAATCTGACTCGACTTAACTAGAGGAGGTGAGGATAAAGGCTGTGCAGAGACCTAGCCACAGAGGAGGAATATGTAACACTATATCATTTTTCTGTCTCCAAATGCCAAGCCTGCGTTCTGTGACAGATCCTGCAGATGAAATGATGACTCATACACAGAGTTTACAGTCTAGCAGGGCTATGGATGAGCAAACAGAACTTGATCCAGCTAGGATGGGGTGTGGACAGGGAAGTTACTAATGAGACCAAGAAAGAGAGGAGCAGATACCTTCAGCGTTAACTGTCTGCCTTAGTTATCATAAAGGGGAAAACATTTATCTCTGACTCTTCTCTAATGTGCCTGTTACCAGCCCCTGCAGCTCTGACCTGACAGTCCCCAGAATGTGTAAGGCACTTACATGTGGTATGCATGGGTATGGGTGTCTTTTATTAAGCTGAGATGTCAACTATCAGCCTATCATCCCAAGGGGGGTTCTGTACCCTAATGGAACAGCCAGTGAAATCCTCAGGCTCCTTATTCTTAGCCTGGTACAAAGGCCTTCGTTATGCCCCTGAATTGCACTGATACAACATCCACACGTGGATTTCCCAAGGCAGTGTAAGGACAGGGCCACAGAGCCAAAGGCCACTTCCTATAGTCCTTTCATTCCAGTGAAAGTTCTGTCTTCCCAGAGCCTGACTTGGGGCCACTTTGGAATGACAGCTGTACAGTGGAGGGCGGAGAAAGGAGGGAATACTCACCCCAGTATTACTTATGTCAGCTTTATAGCCAGAGGTCAAAGAATGCCTCCACACCAGAGCATGTGAAGTTTATTGGGGTCAATACTTTTTCCAGTGAGTCATCAACTTGACTTTTGAAAATTATCTGTCTGTAGGGCTTAACACTGGGGACACTTTTGCAGAGTCTAGGGGCTTTCTTTGGATCCTAAAAGCTGCAAGAGTTGGTTCTGCTCACACTTGGTGGGAATTAGGCACGTAGGCTGAGATGAGACTATTGCTTTGCAAGCAGGAACAAAAATGCAGAAAGATTGCTCTCTAGTGGGACTGACAAGAATTGCAGTACTGGGGACTCCAGAAAAAAAATGAAGACAAATGTTAAGTTAGATCCCTGTTTTTGTACTTGAAGAATGTGTGAAGGGATCCTGACTCTCCCCTTCCTGTTGTAAAATGGTTGATGTCTAAAGAGATCTGGTCAACAAGACCTTGACTAAATTCCTGGCCCTTTCTTCTCCACTTAATTGTGTATGTGTTTTATTGTGACTATACGGTGATTTACTTTAAAAAGACTTCAGTGTAAGTGGTATATACTTTCACCTACACCATTTGGGTGCTTTATTTGCATGTGAAGTTTGTTGGTGGTGTTGTAACCCAGTGAGCACGAAATCGGCAGCCACGGAGGACTTGTGTCTCTCTAACCCATGGCCCCGAAAGGAGGGTGTCAAGACCTTTTATGCACATAAACCACCTCCTGGGCGGGGGTGAGGGCAAGGGGCTTCGGACATTCTGATTGTTACTTAAGTGGTTTACAGAAGTTAAGATAAAGCGTTAGTTTACACATTGTCTGGGCAGGGTGGAAATTACAGACCTTAGTTACTTATTACAAGTCGAAGGGGCCAGGATGGTATGGGTTTGGACTGCTTGCCTGTCATATTAGGGTTACAGAGAGCAGTTTCAATGGAAAGCCGAGGTATGGTCGAGGTATGCAGCTTATGGGGCAATTACCATGTCACAGTGTCAACACTCCGGAGATGGCTGGGACAGTTGGTTAGAAAGACTGAACAGGCCCAGGCCCTTGCAAGCCCAGCAGCCCTAGGTCTCCAGAGTTGTGCTGGAGGTCTGGGTCTGCCGATTGTGTGATATTCCACTTTAGGGAGACTCAGTCACCTTGCACAACTGTGGGAGCTGGGCCTGCCACTGAAACATTGTGTTGGCCTCCAAGTGGCCCTTTCACTAGATGGCAAAGTGAGATTTCTCATTCCCAAAGTATAAGAACAGTATGTGGAATCATACTGGAACATGGAGACCATGTAGTTCAGGTCAATGAAGGGACCTTTGCTGGCGACAATATCCACTTTACCAGAGTTACAAGCAGCCCTGGTGACCAGGCGCCCAGTACGACCAAATCCGTTGACTCCGACCTTCACCTTCCCCATGGTGTCTCAGGGATGTGGCTGGCGATAGGAGACAAGTTGCGGCTGTCTGGCGAACAGGAGGAGCAGAGAGCTAATCAAACAATCTTACAACTTTCTGTAAAATGCCCATAGCAGATGTTCTGAGGACAGGCTTTAGGAACTGTGAACATAGAACAGGGGAAGCAATGAGGGTTTCGACAGGGTTTTTCACTCTTCAGGCATCAGGTCCCCCACACAGTGAATCATCGCTTGGAAAACGCCAGGCCTGGGGGCTTGGAAGCCCCTGCACCGCTCGCGCGGGTCCTGGCCCCTGCCCCGCCGTCGGGGGGCGCTGCCTCCTCCCGGGCGGCGGGGGGCGCTGCGGCCCGGCGGCGGGGGGCGCTGCCTCCTCCGGGACGGCGGGGGGCGCTGCGGGCCGGGCGGCGGGGGCGGCCCGGGCCGGCGCGGCGAGCCGCGCGGCGGATGGAGAGTCTGGCCGCGGCCGGCGGCGCCGCCTCCTCGTCGGGCCGGGCACGGCGGGCCGGGGCCTTTGTGTGAGGCGGCGGCGGCGATGGTGCTCGGGGCCCCGCGGAGCCGGGTAAGCGCGGCCGGGCAGAGGGCTGCCCCTGGCCAAGGCCCGACCCCCGGCTCGGCATTTCTTTTGCTCTTGCTGGGGTCCCTCCTACCAGCTCCCCTCGGCCGGACCCATCCTCCCTGCCCGCGCGTCGACCCCGGCCGGCCCCGCTGCCCCTCCCTTGGCCCCATATTCAGCCCAGTGACCCCTCCGGGCTCACCCGGGTGAGCCCCCACGCTGTTTGTGGAAGGACCGAGGCGCGCGGTGCCCCCCAGAGGGAGCGCCCCAGCCGATCCTGTGCCCTTCCCTCCCAGATGCGACTTTCCGGAGGAGAGACCGCCGCTCCCCGGGATTGTTGGGGTGTCCTTCTCGGAAGTTCCCAGCCTGCCCCTCTCCCGCCCACCACTACGGCTGCCCAGGTCTCCGACCCGCCGATCCTTCAGGGGTGGCCACCAGGGCCCGGGAGATGCTTGGCCGGTACCCCACAATACTCAGACGCTTGCTGGGCCCCAGAAAAAGTTGGGAGTTGTTGGTAGAATCTGGAGAGATAGAGAAAGGGGCTGTGTTGCGCAGAGTTGTGAGACTGAACAGGGATGCAAGTAGCTCTTCTTTAGTCTTGCAAGAGTCAGAAAGGGCAGAAAGTGGTAATGAACTAGCCTCTAGGAGTCTTAACTGTATGATTAGAAGTCTTTCTTGCGGCATCAAGTAAATCTGTTAGCACAGGGCCAAAAAAGCATAGACCCCGAAAAGGACGGCAAAAAAGAATACATCATATTAAAGTTATATTAAATGCTACCACAGTTGTGTTCTACTTTGCTTTATTGTGCATTCTGAGTGCTGTAACTTCACAGAATACAGGGACTGTGATGAACCAGTATCTGGAGTGGCTCTGCGTTATCGAAAGACCAGAGAGCAAGTATGTAGTATAGGCAGAGAGAGATGGGGCTTCAAGAATGTGAGATTTAGTTAGAGGTTTATTGAGAGGCTGAAGACGCAGCAATGACAAAGCCAAAAGATGGAACCCCCTTACTGTTCCTCAGCAGCGAATGGAGCTTTGATAGTTGTGTCCAAGCATGTGTATGGCATTTGGCATCGTGAGGGAAAAGAATATGCTCAATGAATTAGGGAAGGAAATTGTATTTAGAAGGAAATTAATAGGAGAAAAATTTGATCCAGTGGCTCTGGTAATGAAGTATAAGATTGTGTCTGAGGGAGTGCCTCTGGCTCGTTTCTAGGCACTAGTTTAAGACCAAGCTATGCAGGGGGAGATGCCATTGCCTTGTGATAATGGAGGAACTCTCCATGCCCATTTACTCCTGATTCCCACCCGTGGCTTGGAAGAGTTGGGAGTGGTGGTATTTTCTCCTGCATAGCCTCTCTTTTGCACAGATGTGTTTGGCCATCCATCTTTTTCTCTTGCTCTCCACAGATTAACCGTGCTGATAAGGAGATAATTTCATAGGAGCTGCTAAGATGGGCATGAGGATCAAACTGCAAAGCACCAACCACCCCAACAACCTGCTAAAGGAACTCAACAAGTGCCGGCTCTCGGAGACCATGTGCGACGTCACCATTGTAGTGGGGAGCCGCTCCTTCCCAGCCCACAAGGCTGTGCTGGCCTGCGCAGCTGGTTACTTCCAGAACCTCTTTCTGAATACTGGGCTTGATGCTGCCAGGACCTATGTGGTGGACTTCATCACCCCTGCCAACTTTGAGAAGGTTCTGAGCTTTGTCTACACATCAGAGCTCTTTACAGACCTGATCAATGTTGGGGTCATCTACGAGGTGGCTGAGCGTCTGGGTATGGAGGACCTCCTCCAGGCCTGTCACTCTACC